AGCATCGATCGGCTTCAGTTAGCAGCAGTAGCAAAGGAATCGCTCGATCGGGTTCAGTTAACAGCCATCGATCGATCACTCGGGTTCAGTAACGCGTAGCCTGCAGTGCAATCGCTCGGGTTCAGTTAGAGCCCAACGCCTCGCTCGGGTTCAGTTAGAGCCAACGCCTCGCACACACGCACGTACGTGTACGAGAGAAACACGCATCGCTCGGCCCCCGACCGCCCACCGTAACCGGGAACTCCCCAAAATTTTCCGCGCCCTCGCTTCTACCACGGTTTTTTTCGTCATGGACGGCCCAAAGAATGTCATGCAGCTGTGTCTCTGGCCCGCCCAGGACGAAAAACCCATTTTCTGTCATCATTTTTTCTCATAGAAGTAGGAGCCCACCACATGTATGATGATACCGGGTTTTGTCACAATTATCGTCATAGAAGTGTCATATGTATGACTATAAAAAATTTCGTTCGGCCCAAAATGTCACGGATGTGTCTTTTTTTGTAGTGTTGGCATGGTATCATCATTTCACCCACATAGCATGTGCTAAAAAGTTGAGAGGGTTATGGAAAAAATTGGATGCACTTCGTGTATAAAATGGATAATCTCTTTCGAAGTATCAGGGTTCTAGACAAAAACTCATCTGTTACAAAGGATTTCATTGTTTTGAACTTATTTCAACTCCAGACTTTTTTTGTGTTTAACATGCACCATTCAAAGCGACATCTTCAATTTTCAACCCTTTCTGACTTCATTTGGTATTTCTCATGCATTTACTGATTTTTTAAGCTAAATGACCTTGAATTTGAAAAGCACTACAAATTAACTCTCAAAAGGTTGAAAGTTGGCATGGTATCATCATTTCACCCAGATAGCATGTGCTAAAAAGTTGAGAGGATTACGGAAAAAACTGGATGCACTTCGTGTAGAAAATGGATAATCTCTTTCTAAGTATCAAGGTTTTGGATGAAAACTCATATACTACAAAGGGATTTCATTTCTTAGCGTAATCAAATCCATCATCAGAATAGTTGTGGAGAGAAAGCCTTCACTTTTTCTTCACGTGTGTCCCTTTCTTATTGCACCGTAACCATAGATAATCTTCATCGCTTAACAAGGTGGTTGGGTCATCCTTCACTTTGAAGGGAGGAATTTCATGAAACTTTTCATAATCTTCAGACATGTCCGTATTGCCCTCCACTCCCATGATGTCTCTTTTCCCTGAAAGAACTATGTGGCGCTTTGGCTCATCGTATGATGTATTTGCTTCCTTATCTTTTCTTTTTCTCGGTTTGGTAGGCATGTCCTTCACATAGAAAACCTGTGCCACATCATTGGTTAGGACAATGGTTCGTCTGTGTACCCAAGATTGTTCAGATCCACTGTTGTCATTCCGTACTGTGCTTCTACATGTACCCCGTCTCATGAGAGATTGACCCATTTGCACCGAAACAAAGAGACCTTACAATCATATCCATAGTCAAGTTCCCATATGTCCACTATGTAACCATAATATGTGTCCTTTCCCCTTTTGGTTGCTGCATCAAAGCGGACACCACTGTTTTGGTAGATGCTCGTTTAATCTTGGGCGAACATGTAAAATGTATTCTCATTTATCTCGTACCCTTTGTAAGTCAATACAGTCGAAGATGGTCCCATGGCCAACAAGGACAGCTCATCTGCAACAGTGTTCCAACGGGCCGCCTCCTCCTACCAACCCTAACTGCCCCTCCTCCTCACCCCCTCCCCTCCTTCCTCCCTTGCCGCCGCCTGAGGCAGCCGCCGGGCAAGCCCGGGGTGCCAAGGATGGTGGCGGCGGGGACTCGGTTGCCCTGCTCCTGTGTGGTGAACTCTGGATCTGGAGCGGCGACTTCAATGGCAAGGCACTGCCGACTAACAGCCATGCGGGTGGTGGACCCGGTGTCCCGGCCGCGCAGGCGGCGGGATCCGGTGGTCGTTGGCGGCGGCTTCTACGGCGGTCGGTGTGCGCGATCTGAGCCTCCCTTCCTCCCCTGTTCGGCGTGCGGGCCAGCCTGGTTGGGCCGCGCTTTCTCTCGGACGCCGGTTCTGTACAGGGCGTGCTGCTCGTGGCGGAGATCTAGTTCGGGTGAAATCCCTGGCCACGCCGATGGCGTCGCCTGAGGGCGCCGTTTCCCTCCTTGGAGGCGTCGGTATGGACTGATCTCCTCACTTCACCTTCCCAGGTCTCCCGGGCGAAAGCCCTAACTCTGTTGGGCGGCGGCGGCGTTCACGACGTCGTTCCCTTCTTGAAGGCGCCGCTTTGGGAACCTTGGGGTTGGGTGGCGCTTGTGGGTGCTGGGCGACGGCGGTGATGCGGCCCTTTCCTAGCATGGATTTACGTCCGTTGCTTGGAGATAGACTCGCGTAGGTGGAGGTCGTCGGCTGGCGCCGTGGTGGTGTCAATGGCGGAGGACCTGCCAAGTCTCGCGTAGGTGGAGGTCGTCGTTTGGCGTCGTGGTGGCGTCGATGGCGGAGGACCTGCCAAGGTTGTCACCTCAGTCTGCTCTGAAGATGGACCAATAGAAGATGGCGGCGATGACACATGTGAGTGCGTCAGACCGGTTTGAGCCCCGGACCCGGCAGATGGCTCGGTCGGCGCCTCCGGCTTTAGATGCTAGGCTTAGGTGAGAGGTATGGGTATGTGGCCCAGCTTGCACCTCTTCATCATTTGGATAGGAGTAGCAGCAGATGCTGCCAAGATGGCGGATTCATGCATATTGTTGTTATACATTGTAAGGTCCTCGAGAATAATTAATAAAATGGTCGTATGCATCTCCCAGATGCAGAGGCCGGGGGTCATCCTCCTTTTCAAAAAAAAATCTGCAACAGTGTTATCACCCATGATATATGTTTGCAACCAACTGGCGAAAGTCCTGATGTGTTCACATGTAATCCAGTCATCACACTACTTGGGTGTTTGGAGTGCAAAATATTCTTGTGTTCATTGACATACAGGGTCACCAAGGTAGAACTCTGTTGAACTGTGTAGTGTGCTTGAGCCCAAGAATGCCCGTCCCAACATATTATTGAGTCCGCTCCAAGCGTGCCTTTTCCACTCAGTCCCCCCTCATACCGCGATTGAGGGACACCAATCGGCAAGATTGTTGCCATTGTTACCAAATGATGAGATGCTGACTCTGGACTTGGAAGTTAGCAGTACATAGTGGCCAGATAATATTCTCAGTTCTTGTCTAGTAGAGTGTGGGCTTAATTTGTGTTTAGTACCCCAAATAGCTGCAGAGAATGAGTTGATGGCAGCCGTGCGTGACCGCACACAGTGTACGTACACAGCATGCAAATCATGACAGACCATTGAGTAAGAAGTGAATCACAGTGTCTCTGGGCATGCGATGTTACTGAATTGCGAACGCGGGAATGGTTTGTCTGACTGATGATGTTAAGTGCTATTGTACCTGGTCAGTTAACTGCCTTTCCTCTTGCAGTGTTCTAGTAACAATTATCCTCTCACTACAGCACAACCAGCATTGAAACAATTGTTTTGCCACAATTAACAGAGATGATAAAAACCTTTTGATTACAACAAATCCCGTTATACATGTGTCGGATGCTGCTTTTCTCATGGCAACGCGGAAAGAAAATATATGTCAAACTGCATACAACAGAAGATAAAAAAAGATAGAAGGGAGGCAAGCAAGAAAGCATGAATTACATCGGCCCCAGTTTCAAGGCAATTGCCTTGTTATGAAGACGGTCAACTAGTTCCTTCAGGTGCACCCGTTGTTCCTCGTTGTGGGTACCCTTAAGCCAGACTTTCTTGAGACTACACAAGTGTTGTAGCCCCTCTCCCCGGATAGATAATCCCTTGGAGCACTGGATTATCAACACCTCAACAAAGCCTAATATGCCTCCAAAAGTTACCTCTAACTTGGAGCTACAATCCATCTTGAGGACCCGAGGTTTGAACAGATCGTCAGAGTCGAAGTATTGGAATTCAAACGAGGAAAAATCTACCTCAAGGTCTCCTTGCACCTTGACGCAGAGACGATTTAGGACTCCTTGACGTGGTAATTTGTCTTTCAAGAATAAGTGCATGTCATCTGCCCTTGTAATAGTCATCTCAAGATCCAACTTTTTGAGATTTACAAGAGCCTTGATAGTGACAGGCAATTTCCTTATAGGCCCGTACAGCTTAAGGCTCTTTAGGGTCTTGGGCGGGTTGAATCTATCGTCGAGGCAATCCTCGTCGAATCGCACTGACAAGGATTCCATATGGCCATGATCTGATTCCGAGAGGGCACAGCACAACAGCTGCCAGTTTTTCTTATTGATACCACACACTCTAAGCTTGAGCAATTGGGTTAGTTTTGCGAGGTGCTTCAGAAAGGCCTCCCCACCTGCTGCATTGACATTCAATACACCAACAGTATGCAAGGCCACAAGTTTTTCAATCCCAACAGGAACCTCAACACCACCGCCATTTTGATGTTGGGCCTCTTTATCTCTTTCGGACCCACACAAGCTCCACGTAACACGTGGAAACTTGGGCAACTGAGGTACTGAAGTAGATGACGGGGCTTCTGTTGATGTTGTTGCCTGTGCTGAGCTTACGACAATGCCATTTTCAGGAGATGTTTTTACTGTTGGCTGGCCTGCAGATATGTTGCCATCATGGCCTTCTCGCTCTGTTGATGTTACTGCTGGTAGTTGGCTTCTGACCCCATCGCAATCTTCTAATGATGCCGATGTCCAATCTTGATCTGTACCTGCACGGATGTATTGCAGCTTCTGTAGCTTGATGATAGCAGATGGCAACATGACTATGGAGGTCAATCTTACATCAAGAGTCTGTAACTGCCTCAGCCCTCCCAATGTATTCGGCAGACGACTAATCTTCCTGCATCCTCTCAGGGAGATGAACTTGAGGCACAACAACTTCACAAACATCTGCTCAAGATCATCATTTGTTACATCTATCATATCTTCTAGGTCGAGCACTCGAAGCCGCTTCATCTTGTCGGAGATAAAGAATGAATCCCATATCCCAAACACCGTCAAAGACCGCAGCCGTGCGAAGTCAATGCTCTCAAACACATTTTGGTCCCTGTGCCAGTCAGTCATTATGGCCAGGTGTTGTCCTGTGCGTTGCGTGTTTGGACAGCAACGCCCATCCAATGTAAAAACAAGATTATCCTCCATTGGCCGCGAGATGATGTATTCACGGAAGAATCCGTTAACTTTACAATGGACCTGACTTGTTGCTTGCTGGATTATGCTCAATTCAACAAGCTCAGAAAAACGCTTTTGTGCATTCTCCCTTGCGGTACAACCAGGTGTGTCCCTGGAGTAGCCCTCGGCGATCCATCTCCTCAGTAAACGACCTCGCCTAATTTTGCTGCTTGCAGGGAAGATAGACAGGTAGAAGATACATGGCTTTACCAAATCTGAACAAGCATCAAAATAGGAATGCATCCAAGATAATATACCGCTCAAACTATGTAACTGAGGGCAGGTCTCCAATTTGACCATAAAATCCTCATTCATATGCTCCAAGAATGACCCAGAGACTTTCCCTATAGCAGACACTACTTGCGGAAGGCCACCACATTTTGCTACAAGTTTTGCAAGGTCCACCTTTTCCTTTAGGCTAGCCAGCTCCTCAGGATCAATAATCTGTAGTTTTAAAAAAAATGAAATTCATAAAAATCCGATTTGGACTTTGGACATGCTATTAAAAGTTTAACAATGGACTTCTGTGAAAAAGAAAAGTAAGAAATCTCTGATTGGACTAAATAAAGGTCTACACAGGAATGGATTGGACGGAAAATCAAGAAAAAGATTTGAAGAAACGTGAGAATGGAAAACTGAGGACCTTGATTTCTTTTCTGCCTCACAAGCGCTATGTGATAGGTCGTTTTTAGATCTTGCCAGTTGTACATGCAACCGGTTAGTGGTCTAGCCGTATGTTTGGGGGTGAAGTTTATTTTTGTCCTTCAACAGTATCTCATGTATAATTTAAACCGGGCAAATTTCATACATCTGACTATTTCAAATCTTGATTTTCTTCTAGGGAGGGGTTGAAACCGATGGAGACATACAAGGGCGTTCTGAGTTTGTAACACTTGGCTCCAAATTTGGTTCTCTTATTTCATCAAAGGTACACTGCGCCGTGACTCAGTGGATTTGTAAACCACACTGGATGGGCATGGCCGTTGTATAAAAACTAGATCATGTAATGTATGAAGGGTGCAACCCAGAATTAGTAATGGCTAGCATTAAAGAATATTTCTTTAATTCACAATGTACTTAGAAGCAGCAGCATTTTACTATTATAATTTATAATAGTAAAATAAATTATTTTTATAGGGAATAACATCTTTAGATATTTCTGATCTTTGCATGCATGCTTTGTGTTTGCTTGTGTACGTCATTCTCATGTCCAACGTTCGTTGAATTTAACCGTACATAATTGAAAAAAAAAACCTTTTACGCTCTTTTATTTTCTAAACTTCTATACTGTAGCGCCATGTCGCTGATCTTATGAAAAAGTCTAGGACTTATCCAAATTTGATCCATAGGTCCCTAATAAATAGGATTCTTTGTATAGCCCGAGTACAACTTATTTATATGCACGTATATCTTAAACGGAGCCCAAAGTAGTCGATATGTTGCATCATATTTCTTGAAATTTTACAGGTATAATGTTTAACATGATTATGAACTTATTGGAAACATGTGTTAGGTATGGTTCAAAATTAAGTTGCCTTATTAATTGCTGATATGGAATGGTATATATAAAGCTGATGGCCAGGCAGCCGCCTCCTCCCCTAAAAAACTAGGGTTTCTCAGTCTCCCGCCGGCGCCGCCGCTGGTCGGCCTAGTCTTCGGTGGCCTTAGGGCCATGGGGGCGTGGTGGATCTCAGCCCTTGCCAATGTGAGGGCTCCATTTTTTGATGCGTTTTCGAGTTTTGTTAGGGTTTGTGTCCTGCTCAGAAAGACGAGACGACGGCGGCTCCCTGATGATGGAGTAGGGTTCTCCCCGCCTAGCCCCCGTTCCGATGATGCATTTAGCATCGTCGGTCGGCGTGTGGAGGTATGTCTCCGGCAAATCTGCCTTTGTTGGATTTGTTCGGTTCTTTTCGTCGTTCGTCTATGTTCGTGTGTCTTCGGACTGGATCCTTCCGATCTACGATACTCTTCATTGGCGGCGGCTGCTGTTCTGGTGCGCTGGTCCTATGGGGTCTTAGCACGACGACTTCCCGACTGTCTACTACAAGAAGTTTTGCCCGGCTCCGGTGAGGGAGGGGCGATGACGGCGACGCACCTTCGGCTCGCTTCAATGCTTGTTGTCGTCCATAGGTGGTCTATGAATTTGAATATTGTTTTATTATTTCTAGTTTTCGTTGTACTGCCATGATTGAAGATGAATAGATCGAATGTTTCACGTAAAAAAAGGAGAAGCTGATGGGTATTCAGTATCCATCCACGTGTGCGTTCTTCCCAAATCAAGCGTACGACTGAATCGGAAAAAGGCCACTGCAGGCCGTTGCTTTCACAACAAACATTCTGTCAATCACGTGCGTTAACCTAAAGAAGCATGTGTGTTCTTTGATGAAGTTGCATCGATATTTGCACCCTCTAATCATAAATCGTAGCGCTCGTCGCTCTGGCGGCGGCAATCTACGAGGAGTGCTTTTTCTTATGTACTACCTCCGTGTAGGTGAATAAGTCATTCGTGTAGTTCTAGGTCATCGATGTGAATAATTAAATATGTGTTATATGTAATGAAAAGTATATCACTAGATTTCTACACGGATGTAGTTTCTAAATATATATTTTATATCACATATAATGCATATTTAGATAGTTAAATCGTCGACCTAGAACTACGCGAATGACTTATTCACCGAGACGGTTGTAGTACTACCTCCGTTTCAGTTTACAAGTCCTGCGCGTATACCTAGGTTGCCAATTTTATCACCCTAATATAAACTATATAACACAAAAATTATATCTTTTGAAAGTAGAAACTTCGAAGTTTATGTTGGTATATTTTTTGTAATATATGACTTGTATTAGGTTGGTCAAATTGACAACCTAGAGGTACGCGCACGTCCTGTAAATTGAGAAAGAGGTAGTAGTAGTTTTGATAATATTAGCTTCAAAGAATAGTCCTAGGAAGTCAATAGGGCAGTTGGTGCTTTAGCTAGTTAGGTGGTGGATGCACAACATTGTCTACATTGTGGACCCGCTTGAGTTTTTGCTTGTGTTTGGGCATAATGTATATATTATTCCAAACGTAACATAATCTGCCATGAAGGTTTTTCATTAAAAAAATTCAGAGCGCTCGCGTAATTATAAATCAGATAGATAGATAGATAGATAGATAGAGAGAGAGAGAGCACTCGGGTGCATCAAGTGGTAGAGAAGAACACACGCGCGCACGTGCACACACACACACACACACACACACACACACACACACTATTCAACACCAAAGGTGTAGAATAAGTTATTTTACACCCCGTGGTTTTCTTATGTTGTCTCATTAAGAATTTATATTTGGTATATAAATAGTTACGTTCAAATAGATTCAGTACACAAAAAATGGTATAGGAAAAGCAAGATCTCAGCCATAAACCATCAAAGTTACATTTACATGTGTATTTTATGTCATGTTTTTACATTCACAATTTTACGCCATGTAAAATATTTACTATGACTGATATACACTTTCTTACATTTTCTTTTGACATCTGACATAAGGCAATTTTTACGGGGCATACAAATATGGGGCTGTGATGTAGAAATGTCGGGAGAGGGTGGGCGGTAGAGTAGCTCAGATTATTTGATCATATCCACATATATAGCGTTACTAGTCATCACTCAGGGTGCAGAATAAGTTATTCTTCATCCGAGGTAATCTTACGATCGTTTCATAAATAAATTATATTTCAAATACAAATAGTTACATTCATAGTGATTCACTACGTAAAATTTGACATAAGAAAACAAAAATATAGGTCATAAGACAAGAAAAATAGCATTTTATGTATATTTTACACTATGTTTTACATTTGTAATTTTACGTAACATAAAATATTTTTTACGGCAATTATATATTCTCTTACATTCTCTTTTTACGTCTGAAATAAGAAAAAGTTTACGGAACGTAAATTTATAATGTATTGACGTGAAAATAGAGGGGGGGGTGAAGAATAACTATTCAGGAGGGTGAAGAATAACTATTCCCCACCCAGGGTGACGAATAGTCAATCCCTATGTGTGTGTGTGTGTGCAAGAGAGAGAGAGAGTAGCTCAGATTATTTGATCATAGCCAACTAACCGGATATTATAGCCAACTATTCTTCATCAATTGTAGTTTGCAGGTGGCCTTAATTATTAGTCTAAATCTTGATAGAAAGGTCTACCCATTACGAAAATAGAGGGGCATGCAACATCATAGACTAGTATCATGTGCATGATACTAGTTTATGATACTACTCACTACGAAAGGTCTTATCTATATAAACTCTGCTAGTTTGCCACTTTCATCAACGCCTACTTTGTAGAAAAAAAATAAATAATCTAAAATTGATAGAAATACAGGAGGGCATGTTTCAGTGCAATTAAACGGACCTTTTTGAAGATATCATAAGCCTCGTCATCTTCTAGACATTTGACATTGATCATTTGATCTGCCTGATGCTTGACACTATGTTTGGCAATGCTTTCTTCAGTTGTGATGACAACTATTGTGGACTTTGTAGTAGGCTGGGATAAAAGGGCGGTTTCGATCAAGTCCCAGTCATACGTGGACCGCAGGCCATCAATAATAATGGTAATGGTAAGATACCCGTCTTGAAGAAGAATTTCACGGCACCCATGAATTGGGTCTTGGCCCTGCATAATACCAATTGCTACAGCTTCCATGGTTTCAAGATCACATCGATGGAAACCCAGATGTAAGAGCCGAGAAAACTCCACCAAATCAAATGGGTCGGGCACATCAACCCATGCAAACCTTTCATCGAGACAATAATTAAACTTCATATCTAGATAGGAGTGGTAGCTGTGTCTGACGAGATTTGATTTCCCAACACCAGCAATGCCCCATACCGAGATGACCCCAGTATGTCGTTTAATGCGGCTCAACTTAAAATACGCCTCCTTTCCAAAATGCAAAAAATTTGGCTCTTCCATTCTGTTGGGCAGAAACATACTTCGAGAAGCCTCCTTGTTATCTCCATATCCATAGTAGTCAGTGGCCTGCATGCGTGCGTGATAGAGAAAAAAAGAATTGTTAAATTTCTTATGACTAATTAGTAGGACTAAGAATATTTTCCGGTGCAGTTCAGTTTGCAGCATTTTCACTGTTGAGTGCTGGAGGGCATATGACATGATGCAACAGATGGTCAAACAATTATACTTTTCTTTCTTTCTATTGAATATAGCACTGCTAGTGAAGCCTATAATACCTTTGTCAAGGGACGACTGTGGGCCTCGTTGGCTTCCAGATGTTCTACAAGATGTTTGGCCACATTTTCTTCATTTGAAATAAGGATGACACGACTCTCAGCAACCTGCCCCACGAGGACTGGTTTTATCAACTTCCACTCTGCCGTGGATTGCAGACCGTTTATGATAAAAATGCCCTTTTTTTCATGAGCCCTATAAAAGCTTTCATTTGCATCCTCATCCTCTGCATCCGGAAACAATCCCTTGGACAAGCGATGAAAGAATTCCTTCTGATCGAATGGATGGGGTACGTCCACCCATACGTAATACTCAAAATGTTCTACCTCCTTGAATTCCACATGCTGATGCTTTATGCCGTCGTACACTTGTTTTAAGAGTGTTGATGTGTCACCACACACGGAGATCACGCTACGATGTCGTAGTCGCCAAAAGAGTTCTTCCATATAGTCACGTATCTGCAGGTAATTAAGACACAATAAACAGTAAGTAATTATTATACTAGTAGAGGTTGATTAAGACATACTACACACACGCGCGCGCACACACACACACATAACCAGTTGAGGAATAACTATTCTGCAACTCTGTCCTATCTATCCAAAACATAATTTGTTTTTTCACACTTTTTTCGCAGCAACTTTCAAACTATTTATCGGAACAAGGGAAGCATTATACCATTGGAAAGCGGTTGGCAAGGATTTTTTTCCATGTTGAACGTTTTTCAAAATAGGCACAGTTTGTAAAAAAATTCAAATTACAAACAATTTATAGAGCGATATGAATATATTTTTAATGAAATTTACAAACCATTTATCGGAATGAGGCAACTGATATATCCTTGGAAATAAATGGTTAGGCGGATCTTTTTTATGAAGACAACCTTTTGAAATTTCCTATGGTTTAAGAGCAGTTTTAAGAAAATTAAAATTATTTTAGACTTTTTCTTGCCCAAAAATGCTACAAGAACACGCTAACTGCTGGGACTAAAATATTCAACTGCCCTGGGATGACCAAGTTGACTGGCATTATTATTATGTTCCTAGTTATAGAATAATATTATGTTAATGCGGGTCCCTATATAGTTGCAATCGGCAATTTCCGCGTTCCAACCGAACCTATAAACAAAAATAAAAAATAAAAATAGAAAACCCCCACCCCCGCATCCCACCACCCCGCACCCCACCTCCCCGTTTCTGTCGGCCTCCCTAACCTCGCGCCGCCAATCGCTGGCACATGCCGCCGCTTCACGCCGCCACCAGGGATCTACATCCTGGAGCGGGCCACACTAAGTAGCTACCGAAGTCACTAACCACCGTCGCGACCCCCGCCT